CACCATCCGCGCGTGCGCTGTAGGCTCAGAGATCTTCAGGAGTACCCGACGACACGGGGATATAAAATGATCCCCGAACAGCGATCCCTAATACGTTGCTATTATCCACTACAATTTCAACCTAGTTATCGCTCGCTCTATCCACCACTAAAAACACGAACACCAGAGAGTGAGCGTCACTTCACGTCTTAAATATCAGATACTCTCCACAGGTGGCAGCCCTGATATTGTTAGAGACACATTTGCCGATGAGTATAACTAGGCTCCGTAGGAAGATTAAACACAATATTAGCATATAGTCGGAATTGAGACTTCTGTATATCAATTCTATGCACGATGATTATATTATATTTATGATGAAAAGAGATATACTCCTCTATGCTCAAGTCCAAAAACTTTCATGAAATGTTCGCAGCACCTAATTATGTAACCAACAGCAAATTTTTGAATGTGTTATGTAAAATGGTATTTGATATTTCAATTCACAATGAACTTCCCAAGAAAGTGCAGATACAAAATTCTGTTTGCTAACATAGTTAAGCAGCAATATGACGCAAAATAGTGGCGTTGAGCGATTTTTGCTTATAATTTTCATATTTACCGAGAAGAACTGGGAAAAACTGCTTAAAAATCAAGTTGTGTTTAAAATAGAAAATTTTAGCGAGAATAAGAGGCAATAAACTAATAAAGTAACGCACTTAATAACATCCCTGACGCACTTACTTTTAAAGCACAATGTTACCACATTAAAACGAGTGTAAAATTAAATTAATCCGAGTTGTAATCACGGAGAAATATCCATTTATACATCGGCTACTATGTCAGAAATCGAAATGGAGAAATCATCGTTTTTCTATTTTCCACAATGAGTGGCCGCCTGTGTGCAAAATGGGTGAACGTATGTGAAATATCTACTGTTAGTACTTACTGCGACATATCCATGACTAACTGACACCACTAAATTGGTAAAATGTTCCATGCACCTTGAGAAATTCTGAGAAATTACGAGGTTACCATCCCAGAACGCGTGCTCATCCTGACATCACAAAGCTAATATGTCAACAAACGCGCACCTTGTACTGCACTACAGTAAGGTGTGTTGCCAGGTGTTAGAACTATTTTGGGTGTGGGATACTTGTTGGATCACTAGCAGATGTACATGAATGTACATGAATACTTGTAATGACAGCTGTAGCAGGGTTGACGCTGAATGATACTGGCTATAGTTAATATGGTGGATGTATCATGCCTCTGATGTCATAATGACGTCAGCCGCTGCTTACTACACATGTACGCGGACAAGCAAAAACGCTCTGACAGTTCACATGTACCGTTATATGGAAAAATGAGCATGTACACAGGTGGCACATAGTGTTAGCCATCGAATAAAGTTGAAAACGAAAAATCGATGAAATTTCATGCACATCGTGGAGAGTATCCTTAACACGGCATGTTTTCGCAGCAAAATGCATAGATACACCTACTGTGAGTTCATCCATGTTGTAAAAATTCACTACAACTTATTTGTATTGCTACTTTCACAACATTTCTTCATAAAATCTAAACGAAGGTACACCTTTTACGGAAGTAGCACCACAGGATGTTTACACATTGTTTACACGTCTGGTACACAGCTGAGCGAACGTTGTGCTGCACTAACAGTTCTTTTCTATGACAACGCATGTTATACTTTATTGTTCGATGTTACGATATTGTAAAATTTGTTTAAATCATATCTTATCTACATTACTTATGCAATCAGGAAACAAATAGTGTTTTCAATCATTCCAGGAACTATTTGCGCTAGCGTAGGCCTACTGTTGGCGTGCTCAGCCTTTTAACTCCAAAACAACTTATGTGTATCTAATACGCCGAAACCGCGTCAGAAGAAGTTTTCAAAATCTCAATTTCGGAGCACATTTCTGGCTCAATAAGAACATTTCGTTGTGTTTTCCTGCTGCAAGTATGCTCACAGTAGACCTATGTAGGATTTTTGTTGCGAGGTCTATCCATTTAAACGTGATCTCACTGAATCCGAATTCTTCCTCGGTAGCAGGCATGCACACTTCCCCCCTGCTAGGGTGCAATACGTACTACTTTATCTCTACCAAAACAAGAGACCGCTTACGATTCTTCGTCATATTATTATTATCATCATCATCATCATCATCATCATCATCAACATAATACTCATTATTTTCACTTATCCAGAATGATTATTGCCACAAAGAATTCCATTCAGCAATTCGACTTCAAGCCGCAGACGACAGCGAACACGGATAAAGACCCACTGGAATCACCGGACAAGCTCGAAAAGAGGGCGCCACTGGGTGGTGCAATGACGCATAGAGGTCGCTGCTGGGGAGGCAGCACCGACCAATCTCGCAGATATTTCGAGCCGGAGCGAACGGCGGCCATGTTCCATGAGACCGTGCAGGGAAACGCTTGTCGCTTGTTTGCGAAGCGCGATTCGAGCCCTCAGCGCGGAACCACGCCGAGAAACAGCGGCGCCCCCTGCACCGCGAAACCGCGGTCCATCCCGCAAGCCGCGCCGGGTAAAGACACGGTCCTTCAGCAAGAGATTCCGCCGCCGCCGCCCGATTACGGACGGTCACAGAGGGAGCCACCGGGGCAGCCGAAACACGCCGGCAACCTCGATTCGAAAGTTTCTCCGGCGGCGACGAAGAGTCATCAGCGACGTCAGCCGCGCGTCAAGTCGGCGCCCGCCAAAGCCGCCGCACGAAAGCGCCCCCTGGCGGCGGCCGATCGACGTCCGAAGACGGCACCGCACCCGAAACAGGTCGGCGCGTCGGCGGAGACGCGCAGGCGTGAGGGACGGAAGGTTCGCATCGGTGGTGGCGCCACCGTCACGGAGGCGGCGGGCGATGATTGGGCGTGGCCGCGGGTTGTGCCGGTGCGGCTGAAGACCTGCACAGAGGAGATGTCTATGATGAAGCAGATGCGATCATGCTGAGGATGGGAAAGTAGAGGAGCCATTACCGCTCTGCTGCGGAGGTGGGGGGGGGGAGTACAGAAACTATTACAATAAATACATAGAAAAAATTACCACTACTACTTCTGATAATCATAAGCTTGTTGCGTGATAATCCACCTGCCCAAATATAGAAACTTATTCGATGTATATAATTGAACTACAAAGGGTTTGCAACATCTAAATGAGACGATAAAGTCATCAATCATCAAATACTCTCACATAATCGTCACTAAACTTGTTATAAAACCATGTTGCCTTTCGCCGACGTGTAATATTTAAATGTTATAACGCTGTTATTATATATGTGCTGTTTGTGTATTCAAATGTTAAATAGCCATCATTTCTTCTGCACTTCTCTGATATTTTCATCGCCAGTGATAGTCTCTATATACTGAACTATAACCTATAGTTCCAATACGTAATATAACACCCAAGTACCACGTCTTCTCTTCGCAACCATTTTATTCATACACAAATACATTTCATCAAGACTTTCTAATGAAATAAAATGGCCAGCAGTACTCTTGGCATGCTTAAAATGCGAGTCGCGGGAATACGAAATATATTACAGGGTGCGAAATTAACGAGTCCGGAGTCAGATACTCCTTGATTTGACATATATAGGAGTCCGTGTGACACCCTAAAAAATTCTGCCATACTAACTAGTTCCGTTCCGGAGCACGGCCTCGCGGAATTACCGTATTTTTCAAGTAAAAGTTTACGTAAGTCGTTTACATGCAAATTGCAACTTTCAATTGATAAACAAACTTACTTGCCGTGAAAGAACAGTTTATTTTCTCTATACTTGTAGTATGCACTAGTATTTTAAATGTAAAAAACTATTGTTTTAGCTTAATTGATTAATTAGCCACAATCAAATAAAGAAACGAGCGTTACAGATGTTACGCGTGTGACATGATTTTTCACATTTGCCATTTGTACATATTAGTAAAACCCTGTGAAGTTACTTCCTTTAGTTTTTTTTTACTAACTATGTTGATGTCACAGGGACTTGAGGCGGGAAAAAAAGTGTTATATATATAAATAGAAGTACGCTTCTATTTATATATATAACACTTTTTTGTCGCCTCAAGTCCCTGTGGTTGATGTAGGTCTGCCCCCATTATATGACAATTATAGTCATAAGACATATATAGCCCCCATATATAGACATGAATAGCAAGTTTGAAATTAACACTCCTGTATTGCCTGATTACCTTAATTAAAGTTGTTACATTTTAGTGTTACGGACGTTACATGTATGAAAATATAATGAAAAACAACTGTAAAAAGCTACATCTACGCTGTTTATGTACGCATAAGCTCAAACAACTATCGACTAACGATACACGATCGACACTCACGATATAAATTAAGTCATTAATTCCTGATACAACCTTTAATTGTTCGTTTGTAAAATATGCCTATAATTTATAATGCAATAGCTTGGTTCGCAAAACATAAATTAGATACGAAAAATAATGCTGAGATCGAGGGTCTATGTCCCCCGGGGTACTGCGGAACGTACCCCTGGTTACGGTCCGGTATACCGGAACGTACCCTGGTACTATCTAATATGCCAGACCGTACCTCGCCTACTCCACTAACGAAGTCTAGGGAGTCGCCTACGCCTACTCCCTAACCCGAACCCGAACCTAACCCGTAATCCTAACCCTAACCCTAACCCTAACCATAATCAAATAGTGACGCAGCAGACCAGAGTACGTTCCGCGTATACCGGACCGTACCCAGGGTACGTTCCGGCAGTAGGCCTACCCTGGGGGACATAGACCCTATGAGCGAAAAGAATGAGTACATCGTACCATCTCTCTCAAACAACAAACAATAGAAAAACCGCTCGGCGGTTGCCAAGCAACAACGCGTCACGCGGCGTCATCAATGACAACAGTCGCGATGGTTTTGCATAGCGACCGCGAGTCGCGCAGCATAGCAACGCGAGCATAGAAACGCTGCGTGCGGTTTCACCACAGTAAACGATCACGAGTCAAGAGTTCTGCGGAACAGACCACGAATTACGGTTCTACACTATTACAGCTGTGTCCATGCTGTCAGCTATGCCTGCCGACATGTGCTCACCGAAATATTCTGATGTTCCCGATGACGTCATTATTACGCAGACGGCGGACTTTCACAGGTAATTAAGCCCATATCAATAATAGTGGGTGCGTGCGGTTAAAATACGTGTTGCGGAAGAGCTTTGAACGGCATTTACTTAGCATTAATATATCACATAGACGGAAAGATACACAGGTATAAAATACTCAGGTAAGATACGTCGACGACTTTCGACCACTGCAGGTATTCAGAGCAAGCTAAGCTGACTGCGCTGATGGCCCTGTTGCGCCGGATAGACGACCTCGTTCTACTGAGGCTGCTGGTGATCACACTTGCTCCCCTGCTGCTGTCAAAGGTCAGTACTACATACCTGCAACACTCTCCTCTTCATATTACCTGAGTTAAATGTCATTAATTGTAGGGGCATGCCCCATCAGAGTTATATATGTATATACGCGTCTCACTGTTTTTGAGTTTAGCAGCTCAACTCGCACGTCTAAATTCAGTATGGATGTATATACAGAGGGGCCCACGGAACGTTATATAGTTATGTTGTGGAGATTTTCCTGTTAAATACTGTTACTGAATGTTTCTTATACACATATGCTAATTGGTTTTCATAGCAAATACTCGAGAAAGGTTTACTATTTTGGATTCGTTGCGTCGGAATTCAGTATTGTTATAAAACCCGAATAAATTAATTTGGTTTTTAATAAGCTATGTTACTGTATTTGCAGGACACCATTTACAGTGTTTCAGTAGCGTCTACAGACAAGCACAAGGCTACCACATCTAGTGCCAACAACCCTCCCAAAATAGTATGCAATCCATATCGTATGAATATATATATATATATTAAGAAGAGAGAGAGAAAGAAAGAGAGAGAGAGAGAGAGAA